CCGCACGGCACTCCCAGGGCTCAGGAGGCTTCTCCCTTTGGGCGGTGCCTCACGTGCCCTCATGATTTCGAATTCCCGTGCTGACCACAGGGGACGGGGAGGGGACGCCCAGGTGTCCAGTGCCCCGGCCGAGCCTGCTCTCCTCACCCCCCTCTCCCTCCTCTTCTGTCCTCTTGTGGCTCCGTCTGCACCTTGACCCCTGTCTCCCCCCCGGGCTGCTCCCGGGCTGCCCTCTGACCTTCTCCCAGGAGTGCCCTGCAGGACCTCGCTGCTGCCCACACCTGAGCCCCCCAGGAGGCAGAGACTCTGGAGCAGTCCCCTGAACCCCAGGCACCAGCTGTGTGACCAAGCACCCCCAGCCTCGCCTCACCGCCTTGTAAAAGGGGGGTGAGGGCTAGAGCCACAGGGGGGCTCCCAGCACGGAAGGCACCGAGTCTGACACGTGGAGAGGGGACACTGGGCCTGCCTGGGGCTCTGAGACACTCACCTCTACGGGGCTGGGGCTGGTGGGCGGTGGGGCTTCAGTGCTGAGCGCGTGGGAGCCCAGGGGACCTTGGGGCCCGCCGGGCTGCGGGCTGGAGTCCGCCTCCTCCTCAGCCGCCGCAGGGAGCTCAGCAGTGACCCTTCGGCCCCTGGGAAAACATGGAGGTGGTCGCTTTAAAACAAATGGCCCCCAAGCCGGAGCCCCCAGCCCGTCTCTCCCTGGCTGTTGGAGGGGGGAGAGGCCTGTGGGTCCACAGGTCATCGTGTTGGGGGTTGGGTGGTGGTCCCTTTGCCAAGTTGGAGGGCAGGGGAAGAGGCCCACGGGGCACCCGGAGCTGGGCTTTTGGAGCCAGGCCTGAGGAGATGCCCACAGCGGGCAGGAGACGCCCTGTGGCTGGAAGACCCTGCCTGGGCCTGGGCTGGGGGCTGCACACACAGGGCCTGTCTTGGGGGATCACAGCACAAAACAGGGGAAGCCTTCCCCACCCAGCAACCCCACCGAGAGTGGGGAGGCAGCTGAGGGTGGGGAGTGAGCCCCTCTGGGGAAGCCCCCCGCCCCCTCACCCAGGGGACAGGGCAGCGGATCCCGCACGGGGCGGAGGGAGAGAAACTGCCTGCACCAGCGCTCAGCTCAGCCACCGGACAGCTGGGCACACGGGGCAGTGACCGTCGGTCCTCAGAACAGGGCTCTGGGGTGGTCGGGAGGTGCAGGGGATGGAAGGCAGGGGAGCCTGACTTTTTAAAAAACTATAAAAAAACTGCTTCAAAATCTCAGCCTGGAGCCTCTGTACTGTGTCGTTTGTCTTCGGTTGGGATGGAGGGGGGGCACGGGAGGGAGCTCCTGACAGCAAAACCCTGCCCCTTGCACTTGCCAGCACAGCTGCACCCACCCCCCCAAGGGCAGCCCCGCCCGCGCCCACGCTGCCAGCAGATCAGGGAGGGAAAACGGATTTTCCTCGCTGGAACCCCGGGCTCCAGGCAGCCCCTGGCCACCTGTCTTTTCCGTCCCCTCCAGCAGAAACAGCAATCCCGTTAGCCACCCTGAGCCCCCAGCCCCCATGCGTGAACGGCACCCCGAGGTGCTGCACGAGGGAGGGAGCCCCGTTACCTGTGCTCTAGTTGCTGGGTGCCCCCCGAAGTTCCTGGGCGGTGGATAAAGAGGACCGGGGAGTCACCGGTGCCCCAGGCTTTCTGCCCCAGCGGCCCGGCCGATGAGCTGCCCGCTGGGCTAATATTAGCAGCTGCCACCAAAGCAGGGGCTGCTCTGGCCGGGGCGCCCGCGGTGGGAGAGGAGGGGGGCGAGGCTGAGGCTGGAGAGACAGTGAAAGGCAGCTTCAGGGCTCGCATGACAGCGGGTCCTCCGCAGCAGGGCGGCTTCCACCACTGAGCAGACACCTGCCACATGCCAGCTGCGTTTATAGCTGGGCCCCTCGTCTCCCCGGCCCCCCCACGCCGTCCCTCCAGCCCCTCCAAATTTGGGTAGCTTTGCACCAACTCAGTGTGGCCGGGGCCTCTGGGGCAGCTGGCCATGGCACTGTC